ACTGGGTTAACAAATCTTTTAACCTCCGCTGCCTGAAAGGTGAGACAGTGATTTTAGTGCAGTGCTCAGTGATGGTCCAGTCTTGCAAAACAGTAGGAAACAGCACATTTGCTATTTTTGCCTTAGTGGTGATGACATAGTGTGGTCTCCCCAAGCTCTGATGTAGCAGAGGAATTGGAGTCGATTTTGTTGATTATTTACGGCCACCTGTGTGAGTGAACAACAGGTAAAACACTGAAAAACAAATCCAGGTCAGACTTTTTTATTTGTAAGCATTGCACAAACATGATGCAGCTGAGTGGCTCTGAAACATGCTCTTTCCTGGGTTTCTTCAGTGATGGCATGTGGGTCTTCAGAGCATCCTAGAGACATCTCTGGAGCCTTGTGGGGCTACAGCACCACTGCTGATAGCCTGCCTCCTGTAGATATCCTGGCCAGTCCTGGACCTGCTGTGGTTCTGTTGCCTTTGACACAGCCATGAGACCCAGACTTACAGATTTGGAAAAGGTGATGTATAGACCAAAGCATTTCAGAGTCAAGAGACCTTGGGGATTACTTCCTTTGCTGGGACACAGAAAAATTTATGTGTCATACTTGCATTGAACAAAGGTGACTTTTTAAAAAAGATTCTAGGTAAATTAGGTAGTTTCAGAAAAGGGAAGTTTGTTCTTGGATGTGATATATAAAATAGTAAACTAGCAGAGGTTTCTGTGAAGATTCGCCAACAGAGGCTTATGTTAAATTTATGTGTACACATAATGTGGTTCACCATACTGTAAAAGACTTAGAAAAAGCATGTTGCTATACAAATAATCAAAGCATACTAATTACTGGCATACAGGTTCCCTGGGATCAAACAGTCCATGCTACTGTGAGAGCTGGGGTTGAAGGAACCATGTCAGCCATGCACGGGACCACAGGCTGGTAGACTGAGTTCTGAATATGAAAATACAGTTCAGTGCCAGAACCCAGCATGCCAGGATATTGGTTAAGCCTGAGCTCAGGTAAACTAGGTCTGGTTGTCAGAGTCCTTGGTATTTCTGGACTGCTGATGAGTACTCACTGGTGTAAGTGCTCTATGCTTTACTCAGTTTTAGGCTGATACCTCAATTCTGTTACTCAAATTAACACTTGGGAAAACTGCCAGGCCACTGGGTTAAAGCAGCATCCCTCCCCTAACCTCTGGGCCTCCTTATCTCTCTTTGCCTTGTTTTTTTTTTTTTTTTTTTTTTTTTTTTTTTTTTTTTTTGTCTTTTTCATTTTTATCGGTACCAGGGATCGAACTCACGACTGCCTGCTTACAAGGCAGGCGCTTATGCCGCTGAGCTAAATCCCCAGCCCCTGTGTTTTTTTTTTTTTTTTTTTTTCCTAAAAAGCAGTTTTATTAAGATATGATCCATGTAACACATGGTTCAACTATGTAAAGTATGCAATCTTGTGTTTAGTATGTTCACACAGTTGTGTGGATATCACCACTGTCAATAGTAGAACATTATTATTACATCCCAAAGAAATCCCATAGCCATCGGTAGTAGTACTCTCTGCCCCTTCCCCATCTCCTGGTCAACCACTAAGCTGTTTTTCATCTCTGTAGATTGACTGTGATAGACATGTCAGTATGTATCTTTTGTAACTGGTTTCTCACAGGTTGCATAATGTTGTCAAGGTTCATCTGTGTTGTAGCACATACCAGTGTTTTTATCCCTATCTGTGGCCAGACAACATTCTGTTATATGAACCATGTGGTGGATTAACTAATGGCCACCTTGTAACACAACTGAATTAGTGTGGTGCTGGGTATGGAAGACCCACCTGAGGAACACTGCCAACAGCATAGAAGGAGACCTGGAGGGGAAGACGGTGTGCTGTTGATTCTCCTGGAGAAGCTTATCATCCTGGTTTTCCTGATATGAAATCAGTTGTTATCCTCTGAGGAGCTCTGCTCCTCACTGGTGCTGAGGATGGCTGTCATTCTCTTAAGGGGCGCTCTGGTGCTTACCTTGAACATTACTTGATGCAAATCCCTCAGCCTGCTGGCAGATTCTCCGTCCTGCTGGTACTGACTTTCTAGCTTCCACTGATCTTTGGGCCTTCCCTGTGTAGATCCTTGGTACACACTTGCATGAGATATTCTCGTGGGCTCTAGGCCTCCAGTTGGACTTATAGAAGACATTGCTGTTGGATCCAGGCCCTCAGCTGGATTGTTTGGGTCTTTTAGTGCATAGACAGAACTCTTGTGCTCTTCTGCATTTGAATTTTTGGGTAAATATTATAGAGTAACCCCTATAAGTTATATGTCCTTATTAAACTCTCCCCTTGCAAATGCTGACTACAACAAATCACATCTTATTTGACTGTTTATTTGTTGATGGATATTTGGGGTATTTTCATGTTTTGGATACTGTGAATAATGATGCTATGTAACATCTGTATATAAATTTTTGGGTGAATGTATGTTTTTATTTCTTTTAGGTACATACCAAGGAGTGAAATTTCTGGGTTATAGGAATCTTTATTTAGCATTCTGAGGAACCACCAAAACGATTTTCCAGTATGACTATACAACTTTATATTCCTACGAGCAATGCATGAATTTTTAAATTTCCCTACACCCTCACTAGCACAGTTACTGCCTTTTTAGATATAGCCATCCTAAGTGCCTGTAAGTTGGTGCCTTTTTTTTTTTGTAGTAGCAGGAATCACAGTCAGGACCTCTGCTTGTCAGCCAGGTACTTTGCTGCTGAGCTATATCCCTGGACCCTGTGGTTTTGTTGTAACTCAGCTGCATGGCTCTTGTGGGTTCTTCAGAGGCTCAGAATTAAAACTCTAGATAGTGGAGAAAGTGGGGGACAGGCTGAAACCCTACCTGTCCTCTGATTAGATCCTTTATTGTCACTGATATTGACTTAAGGAGATTCCGTGTATTTTTATATGATTCTTGGGTTCTGTATACCTTCTTTGGAAAAGTGTCTGTTCAGCACTTTTTGAGACAGTGTCTCTGAGTTGCTTAGACTGTGCTTGAACTTTTGATCTCCCTGGGTCAACCTCTGAGAGTACTAGGATCACACGCATGGGTCACCATGCTTGGCTCCTTTTTTACTAAGTTATAGAATTCTTTATATATTTTATGTATAAATAAATCCTTTATCAGATGTGATTTGTGAATGTTTTCTTTCTATGGAGTTTTATCATTGATGGTATCAGATGTATCACAAAAGTTTTTAATTTAAAGGAATCAAATTTATTATTTCCTTTACTTGTGCTTGTGGTGCTATAACTAAGAAGACTTTGCCTAACTCAAGGTCACAGTATTCACTATGTTTTCCATTAGGGGTTTTTTAGGGCTAAAGATAGGGTCAGTCACAGAGCACTTACCTGGCATGTGGAAGTTCTGGTTATACTTTTTCAAAAAGGTGTGCAGGTTTCCTCTTCTCTTTAGGTCTGGTGTGAATCTAAGCTGTATGAAGAAAAGGTCTTGCTTCACCTGTGTGGCTAGCCAGTGATCCCAGTGACATCTGAGAGGGCTGTGCTTTCCCTCGTGGCCCACTGTGGCACCTCTGTGGAGAAGCCATTGACTGTGTACCTAAGGCCATGTATCTGGTGTCAGTCCATAATCTACATGTGTCTTTATGCTACACCACTCTGTCTTAAACCTGCTGCTTTGTTTTTCTAATCTTTTCCAGAGAGATCTAGGGTAGGAGTGAGCAACCTAGGCTTTCTTTTTCTTTGGGCTGATCAGCTATTGGATTCTTAAATCCCCCTTCAAGGTTTTGACAACACTTCACTCCCCTGTGTCTATTTCTGTGGTGCAGCCCCTAGGAATAGCTGGTACCCAGTAATTCCAAGCAACCCTACTTATCTTGGTTTTCTTGCAGTAGGGCCAGCTGACCCCCTATGGCTTTAGAGGGCATTTTAGAGGTACAAAATTCAACATGTGGGTTGTGGGAAAAGTGGGGGCAGACGGGAATCTGCCAGTGACCTGGACAGGCCTCTCAGCATCATCACTTCAAGCCGCTAATCTGAATACAAGGCCGAGTGGCACCTGGAATCCATGGTGAGCTGCCTACAGTTATTGCTGTTCTTTTCTGTGGAGAATTGTGTGCACCACAAGGCATTCTCAAACAACAGTACCTAGAGCCTGTTGGCCCTGTGAAATTTAAGCAGGGTTTGAGCAAATTTCTCCATCAAGACCTTCTGCTAAGGGCCCTGCCCATGGCAGGGCTGAGCCCAGGGCTATGATGCAGTTTGCAGGGATGCAGTTCCATCTTGTCATCTTGGATAGATTCCTTCATCTTCCTTCTCTTTAAGGTGTGATGAAAATAGCACCTGCCCCCTAATCTTTACACGGTGGAGACCAACAAAGGACTTAGCACAGGCAAGCATTGGCAAGCCGTCCCAGAGCCAGACATCAAATCGAGGTCAGGTGACACCACAGAACTTGAGTCTCTACTATATACAACTGCTTGGCTCTGCTCCCTGTAGCTTGAAGGCAGCCATAGACAATCTGCAAAGTAGGATGACTGGGTTCCGCTAACACTTCATACTTTTTGTTTTGTTCTTTGAAGATGGGGTCCCCCTGGGTAGCCCAGGCTGGCTTCAGATGCTCAGTGATCCTCCTGCCTCAGGTGCTGGGATCATAGGTGTGTGCCACCAGGCTTAGCTGACACTCGATTTTTTTTTTTTTTTTTTTTTTTTTGTATTGGGGATCGAACTCACGACCTTGTGCTTGTCAGGTAGGTGCTTATCCGCTGAGCTAAATCTCTGGGCCTGACACTCCATTCTTGAAGCTTTATTTTTTACTGCTTTTGTAGTGCTAAGAATCAAATTCAGGGCCATGCGCCTATGAACAGAACACAGTTCTACCACCAGGCTTCAGTGCAGTGCTTCGTGCGTTTTAAATAAGCGGGGACCTCCTGGGCATCAGCCACACTCAGAGCCTCAGCGCCTGGGGCCAGCCTGTGGCGTCTCATCCCGTGCTCACCACTCCTTGTTTTTAACAGAATGTCGAGGTCCTGGCCAGCCGGAGCAATGCGTCAGAACAGAGCCAGGTGGGGGCTGAGATGAGGGAGAAAGCGCTGAAGGAGGAGAAGGAGAAGCTGCAGGGCAGAACTGAGGAGCTGGAGCGCAGAATGGCCGAGCTGCAGGCACAGATAGAAGACGGCAAAGGCAATGAGGCCCGTGCTGAGGAAGCGCTCCGGAAGTACGAGGTAAGGTTCACCCGGAAGTACGATCGATTGCCCAGAAGTAGAAAGTGAAGCTCGCCCGGAAATCCGAGGTGAGGTTCACCCGGAAGTACTTGCCAGGAAGTACGGGTTGAGATTTATCCAGAAGTAGGAAAAGAGGCTCGCCCGGAAGTACAGGTTATGGCCTGTGGACCCAGGTTGGGTTTGGTTTCAGAATGGGAAGCCAGTTATTTGATTATTCACATATTGTAGGAAAGATCCAGGCAGTCTCAAGGAGACTGCAAGCATGTATACTTCAAAGGGGCTGTAGATGAGAAACCTAGGGACAGGGACCGGAGGCCAGCACAGGAAACAGGTGGGCACAGGACTTTCCAACTCCCCTAGGGGTCCCCAGCTGCTGCAGAGGCTTCCTCACAGCATCCTCAAGCCCGTTCTCACTCAGAACTCTTCTTTTATCAATGCAAAATTGATGATTTTGAAGTTACACTGGTTTTAAAAAAACGATTACTTTGCTGGCACTCTAGAAGTGGGGAGTGTTGGGGAGAGATGCCTACAGTGGTGACAGAGGGGTCACCCCTGGGCCTCTGCTTGCAGCACCACAGAACTGCGATGCCCTGATCTGCCCAATTCCTGGAGTTGCTGATGCTCCAAGGAAATTGGGTGTTTCATTTCTAAAACTCACTGGAAATAGTTTAGATGTTGGCATGTGACACTGCACAAGCTCCCACATCCAGGGACTGGGTGACTGTGTCTTCTTGGGCCCACACTGGTGTGTAGTGACTGCAGCCACCCATGTCTGGGTCTCTGCACTCATCTCAGCCTACAGAGTCTACTTCGCAGGTACAGTCGGCATCTCATCCAGTGTTTCCTTATTATAGGGTGAAGTACGGCAGCTAGAGGAGGCCCTTGTGCAAGCCAGGAAAGAACAAAAAGAAGCTGTGTCGGTCAGGTGGACCCTGGAGAGTGAGCTGGCAGGCGTGCAGGTAAACACTCAGGGCTGTGGCCTTTCTCATAAGGGACAGGTGGAGATGGCTACCAGTCCTGTCCTTCCTCAGTACTCCTGTTCACCCATAATATACACCATCAAATTGTCCAGCTAGATAGGTGGTTCCTAAGTGGAGGAGATTTGGTAATGTCTGGAAATGTTTTACTTGTCACAGCTGGGAAGAGGATGTTGGCCCTTAGTGAGTGGAGCCAGGGATGCCACTTGATCATGCTGTAAATCCTGGATGGAATTGTGCAGGCCTAGGGTCAGTGCCAAGGTCAGAAACCTGAACTCTAGGGAGTAGAGATTGACAGCTTTCTAAAGATAAAACAGGACAAGGCTAGAAGACTGGTCTCTGAGGTGGTATGCAGCTGGCTTTCTGACTGAAACCAATTTTTCTTCTCCTCTGGGCAAAAGTATTGCACAGACTGAAGTCTGTCAAGATGGCTATTAAAGGGAGCTAGAAGAAGCCATTTCCTTGAAACTAGATTGATAATCTCTATTCTAGACCAGTAGCTTCTTAGAAAACGAGATTTTCCCATTTGGAGTTACAGAGATTATGTGAAATACATTCTAATAAAGCTGCATTGTGTTCTCCCTTGACTTTGCACACATTGTGTAGCCCAGGTATGTCCTTCCTTGCACCTGAAACAGCACTCAAACATTCATAGGTCAGTTTTGGAAAGGGTAAAAGCCAGGCACCTTGACGGCTGGCCAGAAAAGACTGCTACAATCTTGAGAGTGGGACCCATGGCTCTGCAGGATAGAGTAATGGGAAAGGTGCTCCTGAAGATTTGAGATTTCTAAATGCCTCACCCCAGCTTTACTCCAAGTACAGCCCTGTGTTCCTGGGAAGTTGTAACACAGGGCCTCTCACCCCTAGACTATACCTGCTCTCAGGTTGGCTGGAGAATTTGTTTTTGCTTGAAGAATTCAGCATCTGTCTGCTTTTGATTTAGATTTCTTTCTTGATCCTTCTGTAATTTAGGTCTTTATTATAAGGTTTGTTAGGTTGGTTTTGTATGATGGCAGTTTCACTGTGCTGTTGGTTAAGGCTATGATGGTGACTGTTACCCAGTCAACTACCAAATCACTGGGTTTGGTGTGGGGATAGTCAGGGCAGAAAAAGAGAAACATTTGTATTCAAAGGAACAAAAGGAGTACCTCTGTGTCATATGCACACCCAGTGAAGGCAAGGCTGTGTCTTAGCCTCTCTGGAATAGACTTCTTTGGCTAGATGAAACAGATGAGATTCAGAGTTAATTCTTACAAGATGGTCTCGAACCTGCAGATCTTCCTGCTGTTGCTACCTACTGCACTCTTGGATCTCTAGCCCTGGAAGCCTCCCTGACCTATGGCTTATGTGCAGCCCTTGTCCTAAGTGTGTCATGCAGCTGCCACCCTGGGAGCACAGTGCATCAAGAGTTTGAGGCTGGCCTGGCAATGTCTCCATCTGTACCCAAGCTAACTGTTCTCAAGCGAGCCATGAAAAGTGCACCCTCAGTCTGAAACAGTTTGTTTTCTCCAAAGCCAGGAGCCGGAGCATCAGACCGCGTTGATGACATTTTTCAATAGTTCTGTCCTTAAAGCTAGTGACAAAAAAAAAAAGGAACTCAGCCCTTGAGGAAGAGGAAAAAGTAACTGGTGTTTTTTCCACATGGTGTTTATATTGCAGAGCCCTCATGTCTTGGGCAGTTTGGTGCACTTTCGTATGTGAGGAATACGTTTCTTCTCATGGTTGCTGAATACTACAGCAAACTTATACCTCATTTGCTGCGGTACAGTCAGTGTGTGACAGAGGGACATTGAGGAGTCCTCAAGATGCTTGACTTTCCCCCTTGGTCCAGGGCTCGAATGCTGTCCAGCCCAGGATCTGTAGTTAAGGTGAAGAAATCTGTGTTTGTTTCTAAGTGGCTTCTTCTGGGGGGAAGGTGAAGAGATCAGACATGTTTCAGCCATGACTTTGTTGGAATGTATTTCTTAGATAATTGAAGAAGTGGGACATTATTCACCTCTGGATAATGTTTCTAAACCCAGGGACCTGTTAAGATGACCTAATACCTCTCAAAGGCAACTTTGTGTGTCGTGCCCTAAGAAAAGGGGATTCCATTAGGCAAGGCTAGAACTTGCACTTTAAATAATGTGTACCCTCATTTAGCGGGTACTGGAAAAGTATTCCCAGCTACTGATGGGTTAACAGTGACTCTGGTCGAGGCAACATTCCCAGGTAGAAAATCTGCTCCTGGACTCTACTAATTTTACCAGCTTGAAACTGGGCAAGTGTAAAAGAAATGTAAAAATAACATAGAGAAACTCCTTGCTATGTGTGTTTGTAAAGGTGCCAGAGGTCTCAGGCCCAGAGTGGGTGAAACTGTAGTGTCCCAGGGGCCAGGAGGAAAGGCCTGAGTGATGGGTAAAGCAGACATACAGAAGCCATGTGGAGGCTGAACGGGGCCAGGGTTGGCTTGTCTGGCCTGGAATTCTTGTGATTGAAAGCTAAGAGGAGGACAGAGCAGGCTGGGCAATCTCTAGGGTAGAATGGAACTGGGTACTCAAGGGTCTGGAGGGAGCCACTTCTTATGCTTATTTTCAGGAATTTACATTTTTGTGATAAAGGTCCCTAAGAGTTTTCTTCCACATCATGGAACCATATGTTGGTGTTACTGTAACTTGCTCCTTACCCTTGACCCCAAGTAGCTCTAGATAAAACTGCAAATAGCAACTCTCAGGCTTGACCCTGCCTCTGGGGTGTGCCCAGCTGCGACAGGGGTGGGGAGCAATCTCTGATTACCTTTCTTTTGCTACCTTCTTTTCCCCAACAGCTTTTGTTGACCTTGGTTCTCTACGTCAATTAAGTTCAGCAGCCCTCTCAGAACAGAGTCAGACTGGTAGGCCCTAGGGACCAGAAGGCCCCCACAGGTGTTGGCGGAGCAAAACTGTCCTGAACTGTGCAGGCCTGGAGAGTCTGAGGTGACTGGGGAGTATTTGTAAGATACCCAAGTTACTGCATGTGACAGCAGCTTATCAAGTGTTAAGCACTGTGCAAATATCAGCCCCTGTTCTCTGCAGCCTTGGCAGGGACACCATATTGTTTGGCCTTAGTGTTCCATGGTAACCTGTATTCAGCCCCAGCACCTGACTACAGTTTCCAGATGACCCAGCTCACGTTTGGGTCACATCTTCCTGTTCTGAGCTGTGCCCCTGGTTGATAACCTCAAGCTGATGGCCCAATGTGGAGCCATTGAAAGCCACCAGAGTCTTCCTAAGAAATTTAGGATTTTGTTTTGGAGTTGCATGTTGAAAGGACATTTGTCTGATGATTTAGTGAGAGGAGGGCTTGAGGGAGCTAGGGGAAACACCACATCCAGATGGCTGCGTTTTGTAGTAAGTACTAGTACTCAGTATTGGTCCATTGCATAACCAGCTTTGCATACTTTTTCGGACTGGTGTCTCTTAAGTTTTATACCTTCTGTGCAAGTTTGCCAACCTGTGGATTTCCAAATCCCTTTCTTGTGTGTCTGAGCGTAACTTATGATTCCTTTTGATTATGGCCTTCTTTACCCAAGTGTACTTCAGACCCATGGGTCTGTGTTCTTTCCTTATAAATTCATTTTAGCTATTTTACCCTCCAGAACAATCTGTATAGCAGTGTAAATGCTAGAATACAAGATGCGGAGCTGAATATCACAGGTGTCTTACTAATTTTTTTCATCCATGGGACAAAATAGGTGATACCCAAAGTTAAAGGAAGAAGATGTATTTTGGCTCATGGTTTATGAAGGTTTCAGTCCATGATTGGCTGGCTCCAAGGCAGGGCAGCAGTAGCAGCGAGCCTCCCTTTCCCTTTTATCCCATCCAGTGTACAAGCTTATTGGATGGGGTGCCACCCACACCCAGTGTGAGCTTTCCCGTTATCCATATCCAGAACTATGATAACCTTAATGCTAAACTATGATAACCTTAATGCATTACATACCCTAGATCCAGACATGTCCAAAAACTTCCACCTGGAAGCACATGAGGGTTTGGGGGGACATCTGGATACAAAAATTAATAACAGGATATAAATGACAAAGCAGGTTTAGGTTGTTCTAGGGTATAACTCAGTGCTCAGGTTTTAAGCATGAACATTCAGGTTTTTGGACACTCTGTTGAACCCTGAGCCCAGTAGCCTTTGCTAGGTGCTATGCTTCTTTGTGGCATCCATGTCATTCCTTCTTTGTGGTCTGCTCAGTCATTCCTGTGGGCGTCATTGGCTAAATCAATGTCCTTTTTGGTCCCTGAGTGAATGTCAGACCAACAAGATGCTGGTGTGTCTGCAGTGGCTTTATTCTGGTCTTCCTCCTTATCACAGATGGAGCAGGTCAGATTGCTCTTTCTGAGGCCATGAAATCCCTCTGCCTCCTGTTCCTGTGGTTGACCTGCTGTCTAGGACTGATCTTTCTCTGCCATCTACAGAGAGAATTGAGTCGGACCATCCAGGAGCAGAAGCAGCTGTCGGAGAAGCTGCAGGATGAGACTGAGCAGAAGGAGCAGTTAAAACGGTTGAAGAATGAGATGGACAGTGAACGACGACACCTCAGTGAGACCATCGAGAAGCTGCAGAAGGAGGTGAGGAGCGGGAGGGGATGGGGTGCTGTCTTGTCAGGACCCAGGTCCCTAGAGAAGGTCGGGTGAAAGCTGAGAAGATCTGGCTTCTGTCTAAGCTTTCTGGGATTTACAGATGCCCTGAAGCAGCTCTTTGGGCATACTGAGAGTCCCACATAGAAGGGCCAGTACCTTGTGGACCCTTGGACCCAGAATCACCTTGTAACAGTAGGCAGAAGCCTGGCGTGGAAGCACATGTCTATTCTGTGCCCGCAGTGGAGTCCTGACTGCTGGGTGGCATCTACTCTTGTATCCATCTGGGCTCACCAGGAGCACCAGAGTCAATTTCAGAGCTCAGTAGTTGCCAGGCATGGTGGTGCACTTCTACAACCCCAGCTGCCTTGTCAGGGGCAGGCAGAGGCAGGAAGGTCGCAAGTTCAAGACTACCCTGAGCAATTTAGTGAGACTCTGTCTCAAAATAAAAAATAAAAGTGCTAGGAGGGTGGGCCAGCTGTTGAGCACGACTGGTTTCAATCCTCAGTGCTATAAACAGAACAAAACAAAAAACTCGAATGGTATGGCTCTTCGGTTTACCAGTCTCCTAGGTGCTGATGGGCACCTCTCTATTGGCTATTCTGTGTCTAACTGGGATTCCATTTGTGTTGCTTTAACTATGCCTCTGAAGGTAGGTGCTCTGCTAGCAGTGTTCCCCTAGAGGACCCTGCCGAGGCCCAGAGAAGTGAAAGCTATGCCCAGCCATGAGTGGCGTCTGGCAGAGCAAGGGTCCGACCCTAGGACCTTGTCCAATTGGTGAGGAGAAGCCTGTTTGCTTCTCCAGGTGTGGGCAAGTGAGAGGTGGCCAAACCCTGCAGAAATGGCCCAGGACCAGGGCTCTGCATCCTGGGAGGTGGAGACGCTCCTATGTTGAACAAGGTTCCTGCCACCTCGTCACCCCGGTGGAGGATGCAGGCCTAGCTCATCCCTGTGTCGCGTTTCCAGATGGCCGACATCGTGGAGGCCTCGCGCACATCAACCCTGGAGCTCCAGAACCAGCTGGATGAATACAAGGACAAGAATCGCCGAGAGCTGGCAGAAATGCAGAGGCAGCTGAAGGAGAAAACCCTGGATGCGGAGAAGGCCCGCTTGACCGCCACCAAACTGCAGGACGAGGTGATATCTGGCCAGACAATCTCTTTCCTCACCTCTCCTTTCCAAGCATCCTTCCAGCCTGCCTTGTGTGGCTTCTGTGAGGGATCTGACAGTAGATCCTTAGGGCAGCTTCTGTGCCGGAGGCTCCGTTCTTAGCCCTGCACTGGGGAGGATGGGTAGCTTTCTAAGACACACGCGTCCCCAGCCATGAGTGGAGAGGGACGCAGCTACACAGCTTCATCGGGGTGTTTGCTGGGCTAACCTGACCTTTTCTGCCTAGGAAGTTTAACTGCTGCTTGTGGAACAGAAATGATGTGCCCAGCTATGCCCAGGTGTTTTCTACCCATTCATATTTTAATTTATCCTTAGAGCAAGAATATAGTCAGTGACTAGGGCTTTTCTACTGAAGTTTTGAAAATTCCACTCTTACTGGGTTGGGGTTGGATAAGACTGTTTCCGAACAACAGTAATAGGGAACAAAAGCAATGTTTTGGAGTTTATATGTACTGAAGCTACTAAAACCTATTCCTGGTTTTATGTTTAAGAGCAGAGCAAAGAAGCCCAAATGTCAGCTCTCCTCATCTTGAAACTAAAATAATGGAAAAATGTGGTCATGGACGGTAGAGGCTCGTTTCTACTTGTTCCTCTCACCAGCTGGTGACCTCGAGCCAGTTACCCTGGTTTTCTGAACATCTGTGTCTATCTCTGTAAAAATATACAAAATATTAGTGAATTAATAGCTACGTGAGCTAAGACACGAGACAGTAGAGCAGAGGTATGTGAACCTTAAATGCTAGCTTCTCTTTCTTGAATTGTGAAGCTTTTTTTTGGTGGGGAGGGATTTCCACATACACTGCCAAGAGCACTAAGATTCCACAGGAAAACAAATTTTCTTTAGAAAAACAAATCTGTAATGTCTTTGATCATCAAAGAGAAGTCGCCCTGGAACAGTGGGTATTTATTACAGACTTCTAGGAAGGACCCTGATAACAGATCCGTGCTGGCTGGGGCTCAGATCCTAAAAGACTCCCAGGGAGAACAGAAGCCAGCACACTGACCCCCAGTTCTCTTCAGCGTTAAAGGAAATAGTTTTGTTTGTAGAGCACAGAGGTGGGGGCGGGGCTCAGACACTTGGGACACCGGAATACCTGGTCTGTTTTCACCTCAGAGGATCACAGTATCACAGGGACCCTGCTGAGGGTTCCCTGTTGCTTTCTGTGTGGTGAACTGGTGATGGTCTTTGGACTGGAAGTGAACTTAAGAGATCCTACCCTTAGAAAACCTGGCTCCAGAGAGATGAGTTAAGACCGATGGAGACCAGCGTTGTTTATCAAACAGCAGATATTTTAAATAATAATAATAATTTTTAAAAATTCCCTATAATGAAAACAAAGATGGCCTTTCCTAGATTTTTCTCAGTGGCTCAGCCCTGGGAGACCCTGTTTCCAGTTGAAAGGGTACCTTGATTCTAAAAGGAAACTATTAAGATACCAAAGTCCTGCCTTTTAAAACAAGTGAGGCAACCAGTCCGCGGTCTCTGGGTCCTTGGAAAGCTCGAGCTTGACTCTGTTATCCTTGCAGGAAAGCTCAGGGGTCACACAGCATGGGAGTAATTGTTGCCTTTGCTTTGAGAGAAATGCGCATGTTACCTTCCCTCTGCCATGTACAGCTAGGAATAAAAATGTAGAGTTTCCCATCTTTCCGTGTGTTTTCTGAGTCTGATGAGCAGAGGGTCATTTCAACTAGCCGGAGGTAGCTCTGGGAGGCCACAGAGGTATTTGATTCAGGATAAGTGGTTTCGAGACACTGAGCAAGGTCAGAGTCCCTTACCTGCTGTGTTTGGGACCAGGAGTATTTCAAGTTTCAGTTTTTCAGATTTCACAGTATTTGCATAGACTTTACTGGTTAAGCATTTTTAAATCTGAAAATCTGAAATATTCTTTTTGGTTGTGGGTTTTAGATTTGCAGATTGGGGTTGCTCTACCTGTACCTGCTGTTTTCTTTACATGTCCCTGTGCATTGCCATCAGTGTGACAGGGATCTTGCTAGGCGTGAGGAGGGACCGCTGGGCATTGGGAGAAACTCCTAACCCTTAGCAGCTGAGAAGCATACCAAGGAGGGAATGAGGGTTGTAATGTGACCCGTCAGTCTTTCCAACCCTGGAGCCCATGTTCTGTCCTGGAATCATCTTACTTGATCCTTACACAGGTCTGTAATACAGGCTTTATAATTATGCCAGTGTTGCAGGTGAGGAAATTTGAGTTGTGGAGAGAGCGGGTGGCCCGGAGTCCAGAGAAGGGTGCCTCGGCCTTTGCCCATGCCTGATCTTCTGACCGGGCTTCTGCATGGGTGCAGCCTTGTCTCACCCCTAAGACCAGACTTGGGTCCATGTCTGGAGATGGCCTAGATATGCTGAGTATCCTGTCTACCCCTGAAAGAGCACACTGCCTGGCTTGCCCTGCCATTCCCACCCTCTTTCGACCTCCCTGCTTTTCCACCATGAGCGTCTTTTCTGTCCTTCTCAAAGGAGGTCTGTTTGCAATAGCTTTTGCCCTTCACTGCCACGCACTGTCGGAGAGGATTGGACCAGTTACTACCCCTGGGAGGGCGGACAGGGGAGCCAACCTGGGGCTGCACCTGCGTGCCCATCCTGAGGTCTAAGAACACCTGCGGCTCCCAGGTGCATGGGTCCCTGGGGAGCACAGGGAGGGAGCAGGCCCTGCAGAGTCGGCAGGTTGGGCACTTGCAGTTCCTCACAGCTGTGTGTCTGGCGCCACCTTGTGGGTGGAAATTACTGGCAGTTAGGATGACTGATAGACAGTTTTCTTCTGCAGAGCAGTAGCTGCCAGCTCATGTGCGTATTTGTGTTTGGTTTTGTGCCTGCAGGTTGCCTGGGGACCATTCATTACACTTTTATTTTATCCTGACTTGAAGCCTATTTTGAGGCGATGCGATGCCAATCATAAATTGTTCCTGGAGAAAGTACTTAGCTGGTTCAGGGGCTCCCGAGTGTCAGGTCCAGCACCCAGAGTAAGAGCTGCGTGTTGCATTGCAACCTAGGAGCACAGCCATGCACGCAAATAAATATACTGTGTTTTGCAAAAGGACCACAAAAGAGTAATTGCTGTTTTTTTCTGTAAGTCCATGATTTATAGACATTTGAGTTATAACCTTTCACAGGTGTACTATATAAGCCTGGCTTTGTCAGATTATGAACAGAGCTGACTTAGAATGTTCCCCCAGAGTGGAACCCATTCATGAGTCAGGGACTTACTGCATATTAAAATGCCTATCAGCTGTAGGTAGATTGAGTTAGAACCCTAACAGAGTTGTGGTCTGTAGTTACAAAGTGCCCTGTCTCTACGTAAATGGAAACCGAGGCCCAGAGAGAGGTGAGACTCGCTCAGGGTCTTCCGATCTCCATCAGGGTGGAGCCTACAGGATCCTCTCAGCTTTAGGGGGAGGCTGCTGGACCTCTGTGCCCCTGAGAACCCCTGATTCCTGTCATCTTAGGTGCGCTTGAGGGAGGAAGAGATACGGGACCACCAGAGGGCTCAGGACGAAGCACTCACGAAAAAGCAGCTGCTGGAACAAACACTGAAGGATCTAGAGCACGAGCTGGAAGCCCGGAGCCACCTCCGAGATGACCGCAGCCGGCTGGTCAAGCAGATGGAGGTCTGTGCGTTGTCCTGGTAGGAGCTGTCCAGGCCAGGGACCCTGGGAGTGAGAGAAAGAACCCTGGAATCAGTCTGCTTGGACTTCTGGCTTTTGGGGTTTTTTTGGTGTTCTTTTGAGATAGGGTCTCATTATGTAGCTCAGGCTGGCCTCAAACTCAGGGTGCACCTCCTGTCAGCCAGTCTGCCTGGATGTCTAAGAAAGAGTAATCTCAAACGCAAAGCCAGTTGCCAACCAGAGACACACTATAGACACACGTGCGTGCACACACACATTCCCACATGCTCTGATGTCATTTAGAGGTAATCTTTTAAAAAAAGGCTTGGACTTGAAGAGAAATTAAAATTGTCCAGGTTTTGATAAAAGATAGCGCTCAAGGCTGGGAGAAATGGCTTAAATTCATAATCAGTGGAATTCTTGATTCAGCTTTGAAAATACACAGAAATTGCTTTTTAAAATCTCTAGGGGACATGGTCATTTTATCTAAGGAGTTATGTTTCAAGTCTGGATGATGTTACCAAATGGGCCTCTTTTAAAAACCAGGGTAATCTGATTACAATTTTGTGACTTTTCTGGGGGATTGTGGTTTTGGTAGCCTCTTAGTTCTGATCTCTTTAGAGGAGGTCATTTTCAGGCAAGCTTGGGTCAATCTAGTTACCTGCAGGGATTTTTCTAGTGCCAACACAGTCTTTTCCTATGATGGGAAGAGGCTTGGGGTGACCAGCCCTGGCCTGGGCCTCGGCTGCTGTGCTGGGCTCTGGATGCTGTGGACTTGGCAGGAAGAGAGCCTTGCAGATGAGTGATTTTAGTTGAAGATTAGATTGTCAGTCAGGTCATCGCCTGCTAGTGTTTTTTGTTTGTTTGTTTTGTTTTTTAATTTCAAAGATCATTTCTTCTGGCTGACTTTAAAAACAAGAGGCAGTAGCATGCCAAGTTGCATTGCCCTTGAGCAATATTTTAGCTATTTCTCCATTCATAACAGAATGGCTGGCAGCACTCTCCTGCTGTGACTGCTGTCTTGCCTGTTTCTTCACTGGCATTCACCAGTTTAGTTCTCAGAACTCCAGAGCTCTCCATGCGGTGGACATTTTCTCTAACATGAGTGCAGCTTTCACAGATCCTTGGAGAATTCTGCCTGTGCCAAAGTGGGCCTGAGAGGAAGTAGGGCCCTTGAATAAATAGCAGCTCTGGAGAAGACCCTGCTCTGTGCTGAGGTGGCTTTGGGCCTCTGTTACTGAAAGGAGCTTCCTTTGACCCCATAGTTTCTGAACACTAGCAGGGAAGGCTGTTTGCAGGCACTTAGTCATTCACATGAGTTCTGAGAGTTTAATGTGTGTGACTTCTCCTAGGACAAGGTCTCTCAGCTGGAGACGGAGCTAGAGGAGGAGAGGAGCAACTCGGACCTGCTGTCTGAGAGGATCGCATGGAGCCGGGACCAGGTACAGAGCTGAATGGTGGACGATTGTCATGTGTGAAGGAGGACATGGGAGGGGCTGAGAGCGAGGACACAGTCAGAGCCGGGAGAACAGTCATGCTCTGCAGGGAGCAGAGGTCCGGCTGTCCTGACCACAGTGGACCACCAGGCATGAGGGGCCGGGGACTGTATCCTAGTCAAGGGTGGTGTCCAGTAGATGTTTTCCAAGGCCAACTGCCTCACATGAGGCTCTGGGACCCTCTGGTTTGCCAGGCAGCTGGGTGATGTGCAGTGTCAGCAGGGCTCTGTCCATGCAGTGGGAAGGGCATTGCACACCCAGGCCACGCTCAGTGTGCAGTTGTGGGGCGTCCAGGAGGGGCTCCCTTTGCAGTTTTGCAGAGGTGTCCCTTCCATCCCATGCTCGTGACGGTGCTGTGAGGCTGCTGGGGACAGTCCTTGTCCTCACTGTAGGGCACGGAACCGATCCCAAGCTGCTTCCTCGGCGCCATCCGGGTTTTGAGTTCTGCCTCCCCTTCTTGACGAAGTGGTCATGCAGAGTGCCTGTGGGGTGCGCCAGGAGTGGCAGAGCAGGTCAGGCTGTCATGTCACAAGAGAGCTGCATGGGATCTGTGCCCATGCACATCCAGACCCATGAACCCCTTGGGACACGGTCTCCCAGGCCGTGGGGCAGTTTAAATTCTTGCTGTGGCCTCAGCCCTTTCCCCTGTTTTCTTTGGATCTCAACAGATGTCTAAGGCCCTGCACCTTTCTCTTGATAAGGGTGGATGCTTTATGAATTTAAAAAAATGTGAACAAAACTGTAGAGAGAGGCAGAGTACAGATTAGAAAACTTTCCAACAAAAATTGAGATGAAAACCCTGAAATACCAGGAATTTGGGCAAAGTCTGTTCCTGTGTCCTGTCAGCTCTGCTGCATGCTCTGCTCTCTCACGCGCTTTATCTTTCTTTCTGTTTGGGTGATGAGGACTGGAGGCTGTGGTTCTTAGGGTGACACTGTGAGCTGGTCGCACCTGCTCAGAACTGACAACTGCTGGCTTCTTTTCCTTCTGCCTGTGTCTCCCCGTGGCCAGATTTCTCTGCAGTCCAGGGTGCGCCTGCTGCCTCTGTGCCCTCAACCGTGAAGGATGTTCTGAGCTAAGTCCAGGTGTGTGAATGGCATGGAAGCTTTGGGGGGCCTGAGCTACTGAGGCTCAGAGAAGGACCTCCCTGGAACCCAGAACCCAGAAGAGAGCTCAACCTTGGTGTTTGCCTCCAAGTTCTTCCCACGTTTTCTAAGTTCTTTCACCTAATTGAGTAAAAGCTGTTTCTCTCTAAGTTCCTGCTGGCATAGCTAGGAAGCCCAATCTCTAGGGACCACCATTCTGTTCTGTTCTTTTTACAAGATTGATTTCTCCGTTTCTAAAGATGGGAACATGCAGGGTTTGTCTTTCTGTGTCTGGCTTATTTCCCTCAACATAACCACTTCCATTTCTATCCAAATTGCTGCAAATAATGGGGTGCCATTCTTTTTTATGGGCAAAGAGTATTCTGCTGTGTAAGTGTACTGCATTCTCTTTATCCATTCACCCACCCAGGGGCATCTGTGTCAACTCGGTACTTTTTACCTGTGTGAACCAAGCTGCAGTGAATGTGGGAGTGCATGTATTTTTGTGGTCCAGGGATTTCATCGTCTATGGTTGCATACCGAGGAGCAGAAGTGCTGGGTTGCATGGTTGTTTTAGTTTTGGCCTTTGGAGGACTCTCTGTGGTGTCTTTGCCCATTATGCACCTTCCTCCCAGGGATGTGTGAAAGGTCCCACTTTGCTGCCCACATTTATTTTTGTCTCCTTGAAGGTGAGGGTGGTGTCTGATTGTGGGTTTTGTTGTTTGCAGTTCTATGATGATGGGTGAACGTGAGCATTTCTTGCAACTACTTGTGTGTCTTTTTCTGAGAAGCGTTTTGTTCCTTCGGGTGTTTCGCTGTTCAGTTTCTTGAATTCCTTCCATGTGCTGGATGCCAGTGCTGTGCTGGAGACCGGCTCGCCAACGTTCTCTCCCATTCTCTAAGGCTGTCTCTTAGCCACCTTGATTATTCCTTTTGTTGTGTGCAAGTGTTTTAGTTTGATCCCATCTGTCTGTCTTCACTTTTCCTATCTATAAAAGTCACCATCTATAGCAGTTTCTTGAGCTGTGTCTCCTATACTTTCTCACAGTAATTTCAGTTTTGGGTATAACATTTCAGTGATTGATCTGTCTTGAATTGAATTTTGTGTTCCGAGAGGTGGGATCCAGTTGGTTCTGCATGTGCACTTTTGGCCTCACCAGTGCTGTTGATGAAGAGACTTTTCTCCACTCTATATTCTTGGTGCTGTTGCTAAAAATCAGTTGGCTGTATGACCGTGGATTAATTTCTGATTCTGTTTGTTACATTGTTGCATTTGGTCTATGTATCTTTTCTTTATGTCAATACAATGCTGTTTTAGTTACTACAGTTTTCAAGGCAGTTACTGTGATGTTGCCAGCATCCTCTACCCTGTTACTTTGCCTATTCCAGGTCTTTTATGGTTCCATATGAGTTATAGGATTATTTTTCTCTATGTAGCTGGAAAAAAATCATTGGTATTTTGTCAAGAGTTGCATTGAATCTATAGATCGCCTTAGTAGTATGATCATTTTAATAATATGAATTCTTCTAATTCATGAACATGGGGTATCTTTCCAGGTCATGAGTTCTCTATAATTTCTTCCATTAATGTTTTATAGTTTTCATTATAGAGACCTTTCACTTCTTTTGTTAAATTTATTCCTGATGATCCTTTGTAGCTATTATGAATGCGATTTTTTTCAACAAGTTTATTTTTGGTGTGTGAAATGCTGTTTTTTTTTTTGTATCCTGTAACTTTACTAAATTTGTAAGTTTTGACAACTTTCTGATGGTGTATTTAGGTTTTTCTATGTATAAAATCAGGTTATCTGGGAATGTGGGTAATTTAACTTCTTACTTTCCGACTTGGGTGCCCTTTATTTCTTTCTCTTGCCCAATTGCTCTTGCTAAGACTTCTAGTACTATATTATATAAGAGTGATTAAAAGCAGACATTCTTGCCTTAGTCCTGATTTTAGAGGAAAGGTTTTCAGCTTTTTCCCAGTCAATATGATACTAGTTGTTAGATTTTTATATATAGCTATTAGTATTTTGAGCTATGTTCTTGCCATACTTAATTTATTAGGAGTTTTTTTTTTATCATGAAGTGATATTGAATTGTATGTTTTTGTTTTGTTTTGTTTTTTGAGACAAGTTTTCATGGTGTATCCCAGGCTGGCCTGCCCCAGCCTCCTGAGTGCTGGGATCACAAGCATGTACCATCATGCTCAGCTGGAATTTCTTCTATATTTTCCAATTTTTTTTTAACCATAAAATTGCCTTTGATAGTTTCTTATGATTTTTATTCAGTTTTCTTGTTGGTATATGTTTGCCATACATGACATTTACATTTTTTGGTCGGGGATGGTAGGGTTTGGTACATACATATTATAGCTTGTTCTCCCATCTCCAAAAAGCCTACTCTCTGTTTCCTACTGTCTTTTCTTTATTTTACTCTTAAATTTAATTATATTTTGAGATTCTCATCTAAGAGAAGCCATGTAATAAGTCAGACCTTTTGTGTTTGACTTATTTCATTTAGCATTATGGTCTTGAGATCTATCCATTTTCCTATAAATGGCTCAAATTCATCCATCTTTATGGCTGAATAATATCTCATTGTGCATACATACCACATTTTCTTTGTCCCTGAGTCTGTTGGTGGGCATCTAGGCTGTTTCCAGAGCTTAGCTATTGTGAATTGTGACTCTAAGGAAATCCAAGGGAGGGTTGAATGGAATCTCTGTTTTAGTTGTTTTGAGATTCTCCATACTGATTTCCATGACTACTGAACTTGTTTACATCTTGCCAGCGATGTAGAAGGATTAGTTTCTCTCGATATGCTCAACAGTGTCTGTGGTCTTTTGTTTCCTCATTGACAGCCATTCTTACTGAAATCAGGTGGAATCTCAGAGGTTTTTTTTGTTTGTGTTTCTCTCACAGCTAAAGATGCTGAGCAATTTTTTTTCATGTTCTTATTGACCATTTGTATTTCTTTTGAGAAGTGCCTATTTAATTCAGTTGAGAATCTCAAAACAACTCCTTAGAGTCACAATTCACAATAGCTAAGCTCTCCTGATTGAGGTCTTTGTTTTAGGACTCTATTATTTAAGGTTTGCTTGCTTTTGAGTTCTCGCTGCATGGGGTAACATTTCCCATCCTTATATTTTCAGTCTGTGTGTTTCTATGTAGATAGAGTTTGTCTCTTGCAGGCAATGTATAGTTGGGTTTTTTTTTTTCCTCATCCATTCTGCCAGTCTTGTCTTTTGGTTGGGAGTATCTTATTTTGTGTTTGTTTGTTTTGTTGCTGGGACAAAATACTCAACATCCAAAATGAAGGAAGAAAAGGTTTATTTAGCTTATGGTTTCTAGAGTTTTTAGTTTATTCTCAGCTGGCTCCAAGGCAGGGTGGCATGGCTAAGGGGCAGCCACAAGCGACAAGAGAGAAAAGGGGAAAAGGGGAGAAAAGGGAAAAGCCCGCCTCCTTCCCTCTCTTATATTGTATTCCAGCTACTCACCCCTCTGTGGGTGCAGCACTCACACCACCAATTTTAGCCCTAGACAACGAACCAATCACGGACACTAGATTTATCCACTTCCATGACTACATGAGATTTTAGGGAGACATTTAGACATAACAGGGAGTTAAAACTATTTACATTGAATATTATTATTGAAGTCTATTTACTGGATTGTCTTTGCCATGAAAGGTCTTAATTTTTCTGTCATGTTTGAAGGGTAATTTTTAGGATAAAGAAATCTGAATGGGCAATTATTTTCTTTTAGATCTTGAAACACTTGAGCATTTCCTGTTGAAATCTGCTGTGATTCTGATGAGTTTACCTTTCTGAGTTATTTGGCCTTTTTCTGTACTTGTTTTTAGCATTCTGTTTTCCTGAATTTCTGTGATTTTTGACTGCAGTGCATTGTGGAGAGGTTCTTTTTTGGTCATGTGTTTTTGGAGTTCTAAATGCCTCATTTATCTGAGTATCCATTTCATTCCCTGGATTTGGAAAATTTTCTACAATGATTCTGTGGATAAATTTTTTAGACCTTTGATTTCATAATCCTGCCTTAACTCTTATTATTCTTAGGTTTGTTGTTTTAGAGAAATGTAGGAGCTTTTGAATCAGCCTCTCTTGGTGTCTTGATTTTTTGAATATCACTGAATAAATGATCTACTATCTCAGCCCTATCTTCAAGTCCTGTTTTTCTCCTCTGTGACTCGCTATGCCCACTGCCAAAGCTTTCAGTTGAGTTTTTCACACCCAGAATTTCTGCTTGATTCCTTTCCATAAATCTCTAATTCTTCACTAAAGGGGTCACTAATATCCTTCATTGTCTTCCAAAAATCATTCAGCTATTTATTTGTATCTCCTTTAAATTCATTCACCATCTTAATTGGATCATTGAACTGTTTATTTACATCTTCTTTGAGCTCTTTGAACATCTTAGTTATTGCTTCATTCATGTGTTTGTTGGTTTGACTTTGATTTCTTCAATTATTATTATTATTCTGTTTTGTTTTGATTTTGGTTTTCAGTTTTTTGAGAGAGTCTCCCTCAAACACTGTAGTTCAGGCTGGCCTCAAACACTCATGGCAATCCTCCTGCCTCAGCCTTCTGAGTGCTGAGATACAGGTGTGTGCCAAATGCCTTCAATTATATTAACTATTTATTTTTTGAATTCTTTGGAAATTCACCTACTTCAGTGCCTGGGAGCTCAGCTTTTGGGGGTTATGAATTTTTGGAGGCATCTTATTGCCTTGTTTTCTCATTGTTCTTCCATCTTTATGTTGAACATTGTGGATGTTCTGGGAATGTAACAGAGATATCTTGCATTCGTGGGTTTCTCCCTGTGATGTGTGCTTGACTTTCGATGTGAGTCAGTATGCAGTCACCCAGCTCCACCTATTGAGGGAACTGGGTTCAGGGTCTAGAGCACTTGTCAGTATTAACACCGCCTGGTTGTGTGTTCCGGACTGGACACACCGTGCTGCTCCTGGGTGCATGCTGTATGCATGCTGAGGTAGATGGGGGCCGGGGAGTGGGTATAAGCCTGGCCTGCACTGTCTCCTTGCCTTTCCCAGCACCTGCAGGTCCTGCTCACTGGTGGGGAGAGCTGTGAGCTTCTCTTGCTCACTAAGGTTCTTGGACAGGAGGCATGATGCCAGGCTGAGCGAGCCTGTCTCAAATACTCCCCAGGGCATTTGAGAAAGACTTCATGTGCATCTTGTGGCTGTGTCAAGCCCCAGGAGCTCTTACCCAGCCTCGGAAGGAGAGGGCAGTTTTGCCGTGCTGGCCCTGAGTCCATGTGCAGCTTCCAGGCCCCTGTGGAGCTGCACTGCGCCAGGCACAGCCCTGGCTCTGACTCGTTTCCCTCCTGCGGAGACCCTGGGAGTGGGGAGCAGAGCCTCAGGAGCCTCCCTTCCTGCCAATTGGGGGACACCTGTCCGTGGAAGCCCCTGTCAGGCCTGGAAAGCATAGGGTCCCCACTTCCGTTTCTGCAGTGCGCTGCTCCCTGCCCCGGTTCTGTGGCTCTTGGGCTGGCTGATTTGCACAGCCTCATGTGCCTTGAATAGTCCCAGTTTGAGCACTGCAGGTTCCTGTCCCATGAGCATCTTCAGTCCATGCCAGCTTGGCTCTTTGCCCCTGGGAGCGAGTGACCCCGAGCTGCCTGGGATACAGAGGGAGCTCAGGGAATGTGTAGGATAGCGGCAAAGCAAGTCCAGCTTCCTACAGTGGCTGTTACACAGTGCTGCAAACGGCAGGCGTAGGACGAGGGAGCCTGCCGTCTCGGAGCTCTCGAGGCTGGAAGTCTGAAATTGGTACAGCAGATACCACGGGGCACCCTGCCTTGCCGCCTCCTGGCTCCTGGTGGCCCATGGCTTGAGACACGTCACTCCAGTCCTTCCCATAGTACTGTCCTCCGCACATGCCCATCTCTGTGCCCAGTCTTCCTTGTCCTGTGAGGATGGCGGCTGGGCCACGCCAGGCCACCTTAGTGCCTCAATTTGTATTTGTCACCTCCATGAAGTCGCTGCTCTCTGTTTGGGTCAGTTGGGAGTACTGAGGGTTGGATATCAGTGCATCCCTTCCTGTGCCTGTGTGGGGGGCACAGTTCAGCTTGTGATAGCGGGGATAACGATTGTTGTTCATGTAGCTAAATCACTGAAACACCAAGGACATCTTGGAAATAGATCCTGCACCTTGGGGATGGCATGGGGAGCTACTCTGGGTGGGCTCCCTGAGGGGGACTAGGCTTGTGTGCTAGAACTCAGCCCCCCCTGGGATCCACTGTGGGATGGGGGCTACGGGAACGACCCCTCTGATCTTGGGGTGGCTCTGCTTCCAGATGGAGCAGATGAGGAACGAGCTTCTTCAGGAGCGAACTGTGCGACAAGACTTGGAATGTGACAAGATTTCCCTGGAGAGACAGGTGAGGGCATCATTCCCATGATTCCTCCCTCACCCTGCAGGGCTTTAGAGTTAGAGTCCAGGAGGGCTGAGTTTCAGTGCAAATGGCTGGAGCCTGGGAATCCCAGGACATGCTGAAGAGTTTATCTGGCCTTGTCAGGGAACAGGCCTGCTAGGACCTGAATCCGGCATGCCTGGACCCATCCCTGGGCTCTCTGACACCTGTCCGGGGAGAAGCAGCCTTATCATAGACCACCTTCATTCATGGCTGCTCATGGTCCCCATCTGGTTATAGAACAAGGACTTGAAGAGCCGACTTGTGCATCTGGAGGGCTCCTACAGGTCCAGCAAGGAAGGGCTGGTGGTACAGATGGAGGCCCGGATCATGGAGCTGGAGGACCGTCTGGAGAGCGAGGAGAGGTGCGGGCACCCCCAGAGTATGAACCCCTTCCCGACCCCACAGCCTGGGGGAAGCGGAGCAAGTATGGCCTCGCTGTCCCTTCCTGCTCTGGATGATGACAGGCTGACGCTGCCTGGGGGCAGAGGCCATTGGCCACCTGTCAGGGTGGGCAGCACCCCCACAGAGACAAGAAGGGTGGGAGCCCAGGTGCCACTCCTTCCCACGGTTCTCTGCGGCAAGCCTTCTCTGAAAGCTGAGGACCAGCACCAGGACAGAAATGACCAGTCTCCAGTTCTGATTCATGGCCCTTCAGCTTCTGGAAGGGTGTATCCAGAGGGCTCTGAGGGGGTCGCGCTGGAGTGGACCAGGGCAGACCCCAGCACTGGCTGGCTGCGATTCCGTATTAAAACGAATGAACTCAGGACAGTGCTGGCCCCACTGGGCTTCTGACTGGCCCTGCGTCTCACCGGTCACTCCTGCCCGAGTCCTGTTGCCCTTTCCTCCTGCATGGTTGTCTGAGGTCTGACTCTAAGCTCCAGTTGACCAGGCACCCCTGGCTGCAGGTCCCCCACTCTGCAGCCAGAGCCTCCTGCAGAGCTGAGAGTGAGGGATGCTCTCTCTGCCTCCCCACCCTGGCAGGGACCGCACCAGTCTGCAGCTCAGCAATCGCCGGCTGGAGCGGAAGGTGAAGGAGCTGCTGATGCAGGTGGATGACGAGCATCTGTCGCTGACGGACCAGAAGGACCAGGTGAGGTGTCTGCCTCCCATCCTGGGCTGCGGCAGTGGGAGGGAGGCCGGGCTGCTTCCCACTCCCTGGTACAGACCAGGAACTTCCACGGCCCTCAATGCTGAACATGACGTTCATAAACCATGACTTTGTTTACCGGGGAGAAGGTGGGTGGCATTGCACACCCCTCAGTCCATCCTTTTTCCTGCCACAGCTGAGCCTGCGTTTGAAAGCCATGAAGCGGCAGGTGGAGGAGGCCGAGGAGGAGATCGACAGACTGGAGAGCTCTAAGAAGAAGCTGCAGAGGGAGCTGGAGGAGCAGCTCGACGTGAATGAGCATCTGCAGGGCCAGCTCAACTCCATGAAGAAGGACTTAAGGTGGGCAAAGTCATGGCCCTCAGTGGCTCTGTGCACGGTTCAGAGGAACCCTGTGTGCTGTCCTTACAGCGGAGTAAACTGGGTGGGCACTGTCCTTGTGGCCATCAGGGGGAGCCTCAGTCTCAGCAGACAAAGCAGCTTAAACCTGCTGTCTGAGGGAGGAAGTTCTGATTTTTATCCTCAAAGGGTCGTGTGCTCCCAAGCCTCCCTGGCCAGGAGTCGGGACAAGGATGGCAGGGCCTGATGGGTCCCTTCTTCTCCCTAGGCCAGTGTGGGGTTGACCTCCCTTCCTGGAGGCTGACGGTGCCCAGGCAGCAAGTTGACTGCCCGAGTGGTGCTCTTTCGGATGAGTGTCAGTCCCCAGCCCGTGGACATCACCATGTGTGACCTGTTCATGGGAAGCTGGGCCCAAGGCCAGCATAGGGCACAACATGGATGGGGCATTAGAATAGATCACCATTTAAGACATCATGAACTAATGCCAAGTTTAAAATTTATTGCATATGACCCTTGGAGAATAAGATATCCAAAGTTTAAGTTAAAACAGGATGAATATCCTGCCACACTACAGTGGGGAAACCGTAGCCCTGGTCTGGGTCCTTTCCACGTGGAAGGATTGGAGAGGGGGAGGTGCCGACACAGATTTACTTTGAGTGGAGTTGGCTGGGTCTCCACACCACCCACCGCATCCCACAGCCCAGGAACTGTGCCTGTGCTCTCCACAGACTCAAGAAGCTGCCGAGTAAAGTGCTGGACGACGTGGACGACGACGATGACCTCAGTACAGATGGTGGGAGCCTCTGTGAGGCCCCACTGAGCTTCGCCTTCCCCAGGGACAGCACCATGATCAGCCAGATCTAGCGCCGTCCACGATGCTGCGGGACTCTGCAGGCCAAACCGGGAAGCCCAGGCCACCCCCACACGGCCCACCGCGCTCCCTGGGGTCTCCAGGCCCTTGACAGGGAGGACGTGGGCCTTGGTGGGGCCAAGGCCATGTTCTGCACAGCCATGCCTCCCCTGCCGAGAGCCGGGGTGCCAAGTGCTCCTTCCTGCTTCAGAGCCACATGCAGGGAGGGGGCGGGTACCAACTGTGGACCAGGCCTCCTTTGGAACATTCCACCACCTTTCTGGGGTGGGCCCTTTGTAAAGTTCACATTTCTATCCCAAGCATTCTTTTTAAGACTCAAAGCTGCTAGGCTTCATTAAGAGTGGAGGTCAGAGACAAGGTAGTGTCAGCCACTTTGGAAACCAGAGCTGGGAAGAGGAATCGCAGGGACCTGTGCTGGGAGGGAGCAGAGGTGCAGGTGGCCTGGAGAAGCGGCTGCTGCTGATCATGGGCGGGGGTCGGGGTGTCACTGTCCTCTGTGAGCTGTTTCCCGCCTTGGTTGCTCATTTCATCCAGCTTTTGGACCATGCTAAGACCAGTTTCCGGTCACCAGTTTCCATTACACACACGGCGGTGGGGAGACTTGTTAGCGAGTGACACTTCTCTAGAGGCACAGGCTGTGATGTCACGTGGTCCTCTGCTTCCCCCACCATGGGCTTCTGAGCTCCGCCTTCAGGCATGGCGTGGAGAGGATCAGGAGCTGAGATTCCCAGCGTAAATATGAGGATGAGGCAGGAAATGTTCAGTGAGGTCATGGGGCGAGGGTGGGGGAGAAGCGAGCAGCAGCTGTGTAGGTGGGGCTAGCTTGAGGAGGAGGGGAGAACTGGGGGATGTGGAGATGGGGAGGGTTGAGCTGGAGCTGCAGCAGTATTCAGAAAGGGGATCTGTCTGTGAACTGGAGGTCTCCTTCCCCCTGCTGGGCACCAGGTCTGGGGCTGAGGCCATGCATGGGTGGCATGGCAAGGTGGGTGGCTTCAGGAGGATGCCGGGATCCCTGCACAGCCACAGGACATGGGCCAGGTGGCTCAGGGGGGAAGTGGCCAGGGCAAGGACAGCAACTGTGGAGTCCTTTTGCATCCCAGTAGGTGGGAGGCCTGTGGCCAGGGAAGTCCAGGGCACTTGGCTGGGGGTCCCTCTAAGCTTAGGGTCCTGGAGTTGTGTGACCAGATGCTGAGTCCTTGGAACTGGATGGCCAGGCCCTCTTCTTCCAGCCCCAGTCCCCAGTCTGTCCTCAGTACTGCGAGGGGTATCTGTGGCCCCACTTCCTCCCTCAGCCATTAGTCCATGTGGCCAATCTGTCGGACACCCAGTATGCTGGGCACAGCCCTGGACACAGGGGCAGGGGCATCTCCAGTGGGTAAAATGTCCTCTTGGAGCTCAGTAGTGACCACATGGATGAAGGGCCTGGCAGTGCAGAGCCCAGCCCCAAACCCTCTGATCTCTTGGGATGCGACAGTCAGAAGGGTTCTTGGACCATCAGAATGTGTTTCATTTCCCTCCAATGCCTTGCGCCCCAGTGCCTAGAGCACAGAGAAGAGCTCAGCTAGCCCGGAGCTGGACAGGAAGCATCGAGTTTGCTTCATTCTCTCTGCTCTTCCTGGCAGCCGTGAAGGTGGCTGTTGGGAGCAGGAGGGCCCTGAGTAGAGCAGGGGACACCATTCAGAATGCCTTCGAAAAGCTGCTGAAAGTGTTGCTGTGTGGTGAGGATGTTGATGATGGCGCCACGCTGTGATGCAGGTGGCTGTGGCCAGGAGCCTGCAGTATGGGGGGAGGGAGGGAGGGCACTGCACTGGGGATGGGAGAGGCGTCTTGGGGCCTGGCTCGTCTCTGTACCCAGACTGAGACAGGGTCCTGGCTGGGGTAAGAGGAAGGTTAGGGCCTGGCCTGTCCCAGCTTGTACACATGGTCATTGCTCTGTCATCTATGTGTTACACACTTGCTGTCCTCTTATTTAGTGCTTTAAGAGCTAACTACTGCTCAGGAGTATTTTCTTTAGCTTAAAAAGAAACAAAAATATGTAAGAAAATGTGTGGCCAAAGGCAATGATGAAGACAATCATCAGGTTTCTTACAATGTCCTTTCCTGCCTCAAGAGCGTCACCCGCCACACCTGTTTGCTACTCTGGTGGGTTTTGTACCGGGAAAGGATAGTCTTCTTGTGGCTGCCTCCATGTAAGTGAATTCCTGGATGCAGCAAGATTTCCTTCCAATAAACAGTGTCGTCCAGTAGGACCCTGACTTTCCCACCGCTTTTGCGCCTTCCTTTCCTCTGGAGCTGGGCCCGGTCCTCCTAGAAACAGCCAAGAGCTCCTGGAGGAAGCAGAACTCGTGGTTTCTAGCCCCAGGCCCAGTTTCTGAAGCAGGAGGGTGGGGAGTGGTCAGCAGGACATGCAGAGAGGATGGATGGGCCTGGATGGCTGAGAAATGCGCAGTGCCCAGGGGATGGCAAAGTGGGTATGCTGTCCAGCATTCGTGGCAGGCTGCGCAGCTCCCTGGAGTGCTCTGCCCTGACCCCCAGGTCTCCGCAGGCACCCACAGTCCTGATGAACACACAGCAGGTTCTACAGGCTCTGCCTCCCAGGAAACCCAGCTCCTGTCCCCCAGGGGCCACATGTTGACCCTTCCCATGGTCCTCAGATCCACCTCCCGGCCTGTGTTTGAGAGGCCACTCTGTGGGTTTCCTGGGTGACTGTTATGGTCAGGTTGCAGGTGGAGACCAGGACATTTGTCCACAGCATCCTGCAGCGTATGGGGGACCCCGGCGAGCTCCACTGTGTTAAGCTCCTAGGCAGCTGAGGGTTGTAAGATTTGTGCTCTGAGCTCTTCGTGGACCAGTGGGGGCCAGTGGTTCCCCCGAACTCTAAGGGGGCCACACATCCCAAATTAGAGGTGGTCTAATTTTAAGTACTCAAAACCTGATAAATTTTGTTTGATTTCTCTGTAAGTCAGGTATATTGAGGTGTCACTTTATAATTTGTAGGGAAAGCCTCCCTTTCTGATATTAGTTGCATTGGAAGCTGGAGTTTTTACTCTGAGTTTGGGCCCTCTGTCAGTGGCTTCTCCCTCAGAATCATACTCCCACCCTACACCTTGGGCCAACAGAGAATGTGCTCAGGAGGCACAGAGCCAGCAGGAGAAGCTGCCCCACCCCAAACTGCACCTCCCTACCCCCATATTCTGTGTGTTCTGCTCCTGGCCTCGAGGAGCTGCATTGGACATCCATCTGCAGGCTTTAGTGCAAACTCTTCAGCTCCCAGATGCAGACTCATGTGGGGCTTTACACTGAGTTCCAGGACTATATACATATACCCTGCAATACATACCTACATATATTCCTATACATATGTACACATACATATACAAATACATGTGCATATGTGTGTATTCCTCTAGTGAACCCTAACCGGGTTACAAACATGTTAAAACAAGGCATTTGATCTCCAACAGTTTCCAATTGAGGATGTAAGTTTATTTCGTTGAGAAATTTGTGTTCCTACCACCAAGAATCATCCATTGTCAGTAGTTGTTCATATATGTATTTCACATTTTAAAATAAAAACTAAAATATTACACACCCTTTCAGAGGAACACAATACTCTTTCGCAGTGACCTGAAAGAAAAAGACATTGACAGAACACCTAATCAGGAATTTTAAAAAATGACTAAGGAAATTCAATGAGACGCAAGCAATAAGAGACATAATCCAGTGAAGTTAAGAAAATAATTCACAATATGAATGAGAAATTCAGCAGAAGGAGATCATAAAACAGAGCCCAAAACAAGTTTGGAACTAAAGTAATTCAGTGAAAAAACAAAACAGCCAGGCACGGTGGCACATGCCTGTAATCCCAGCATCCAGGAGGCTGAGGCAGGAGGATTGCAGTGAGTTGAAGGTCAACCTGGGCTACACAGTGAGTTCAAGGCCAGCCCGAGCTGCATAGTGAGACCCTGTCTCAAAAACTTAGAAAATAAATAAAACATACATTTGAAAGGTTCAGTACCAGACTAGACCATATAGAAGAAATAATTTCTGAACTTGAAGACAGATACTTTGAAAGATCACAATGAGACAAAAATAAATTTAAAAACTTAAAAAATGAAGAAAACTTCCAGTATTTATGGAACACTGTTGACATTTGTGTTCAGGGAATCCCAAGAGGAAAATAAAAGTATAAAAAACTTCAATGAAATAATAGGTAAAATTTCCCTAACCTTGGGAAAGATACAGATATCCGAGTACAGGAGAATCAAAAGACTGCAAATGGATTTCCTTTAAAAAAAAGGACCTCATGAGTGATATGGTCAGGAGTCATTTTGGGGAAGCATTTATTGTTTAAGACTGAGCTACTCTGGGAATCAGAAGTCACAGTACAACTACCCTTCCAGGTTGTTGGTGCCTCCCTACCAGAATGGCTGGTGGGGGAGATTGGTACAAGATACAGTCAGAGAGAGGGGCTGGGCTAGTCATAGACCCCCTGAGAGGGTTAAGCTGTGACCAGCACAGTCTGTTAGGAACGTGGGGTTCCAGCCCCCTGCGGTGAGAAGCCACAACAGCTGTGTAGTTCTTCGAGGGGAATGGGTGTACAAGTGCTGTCATGAAGTCCAGCAGTCTGTTTGTCCTTTTTTCTTGCTACCTACTTCCAACACAGAGCTAGGTGGACTGTTTGCTTTCCCTATCAGTCAACATGACTAACGATGTGCCTTGGCTTGGACACAAGCCACATTCTGGAGTATAGGGACAGAAAGACCCCTGGAGCAAAGAGAGCACCTAACAAGCCCAGTGCCAGAAAGCAGGGTGGAGGCAGCGTTGGCTTCATATGCACAGAAGGCACAAGCACTGAGAAGATACTCCAATAAAATGAGACCTCCCAACAGATGCACAAATCCCAATATAGAAACACAAGAAGTATGAAAAAACAAGGGGACATCGCCCTTCCATATTTCCACAGTTTGCCAGTATAAATGCAAAGATATCAAAGTCATAAAATGCCAGACCAGGAATTTAAAAGGCTGATTTATAGAATGAATGATTACTTCAAAGATGACATAAATAATAGCTGAGTGAATTAAGAAAGACAATATAGAATATGAAGGAGCAAACAAAGTGAGTGATTATAAAGAAACAAACAGAAATTCTTGAAATGAAAAGTACAAGTGAAATTTTAAAACCCAGTGGAAAGATACCTGTAAGCATGCCCCTGGAGAAGGTAAAATGTCAAGACTTGAAGATAAGGTTGAGGATCGATAGATGTACAAATTAACAGAAAAAATACTTGAGAACAAAACCAAGAACTCTCAAACAAAAGATTAAATTTATGAATTTTTTGGTAGAAGGAGACACTGAGGTACATGCAATGGTGTAGAACTTCTAGTTAATGAAATAATAGAAGAAAATTTCCCAAATCTTGGGGGAAGTAGCTTTAGGAGGCATTTAGAACCTTAACAGATACAAACAAGAAAAGGATGGCATGTGAAATGGTAGTTAAAATAGGAAGAGTAAAGAACAAAGAAAGAATACCGACAGCTGTACGGGAGAAACAAGAGGTCACTTACACAAGCAACCCATCAGAATAATTTCAGACTTCTCTGCAGAAATCTGGAAGAGCAGGAAGGTGTGGAATAGTGTCCAAGCCCCGAGGGAAAATAATTGCTGACATAGACTACTTTATCCAGTAAAGCCATTCTTCAAAATTGAAGGAAACATGAAGATATTCCAAGATAAGAATAAACTAAAGAAATTTATTACCACTAAGCCAGAAAGAATTGCAGAAGACTCTTGAAAGGAAACCCACACACAAAAGAGGAGTAAAAATGTGCTATTGAGGATTAGGAAAGAATCAAATATTAGCAAAACAACAGAATGACAGGAATGGTGCTTACCTTTCTGTAATGACAATGCAAATGATGTTAATCCTTCAATTAAAAGACACGAACTGGTGAACTAGGTTAAAAACAAGCCAATTCTTTGCTGCTTGCAAGAAACTCACTAGCAAAGATGTACAGTGGAATCTCAGTTCACAGACACTTTTGTTTGTGAACAATTTGGGTTACAAACATGCATTTGGCAAAATTCTGTTTCTGGTTGTGACCTCCACACCAGGTGACAAACATGACTGCGGCTGTGTTTCCTGAATGAAAAGGAATGAGGCCATCTTTTCCATAACTGTGGGATGAATTTGGTTCATGAACCAAAATATCACTGTACGTAGACTGGAAATGAGTGGATAGAAAAAACATTCCATGCAAATAGAACTGGAAGCAAGCAGGAATATCTATATCCAGATTAGACAAGACAGACACCAAGACAAAATTAGACAGCACAGAGGAGGCCATTACATATTGGTAAGGTGAGCTGTCCACTAAGAAGATTTAGCAGTTGTAAATGTGTATGTACCAAATATCTGTGTGCCCCATTTCATAAAAGAAGCACAGTTCAACATAAATGGATTTGTAGTTCCAGTGTAATAATATTAAGAAGTGACTTCCACACCCTAGGTCATGAAGGCAAAAGGAGAACAAAGAAACATCAGAGTTAAACTACGCTGCACATCGAATGGACTTGAGACGTCTATGTGCAACATTCTGTCCAGTGACTACAGAATACACATTCTTCTCACACGTTCACGGAACATTCTCCAAAATAGACCATATTTAAGGGTGTAAAGCAGCCTTAATAAATATAAAAAATAACATTTTTGCATTTATTAGATCAGTGTAATTAATCTAGAAACCAACAGCATGAGAAACCAAAGCCATTATATACACACATCAAGACTGAATAATTCACTTTTTTTTTTTTTTTGTCTTTTTGAGACAGGGTCTCTCTGTGCAGTTCAGGCTGGCCTTGAGTTCACTTTGTAGCGCAGGCTGGTCTAGAACTCACAACAATCCTCCTGCCTCAGCCTCCCGAGTGCTGGGATCACAGGCATGAGCCACCATGCCCAGCTGAATAATTCACTTTTGAATGATCAGTGGGTCATTGAACAAATAAGGGGGAAAATGTAAAAATTTCTAAAATCAAATGAAAATAGAAATACAACATACCAGAAAAGGCAGTCCTAAGAGGAAACTTTATAGCTACAAATGCATAATAAAAAAATCAAGAGATCTTAAATGAGTAAACTAATCATCTAAAGGTCTTAGAAAAACAAAAACATGTTAAACATACCTAAACATACAAAGAATTAAAGAAACTCAGACCTCCGAAATTCAAAGATCCAATCCAAAAATGGGCATCTGAGAT